TATAAAAATATAGAATGTCAAATTGAATAGTTTGTAAAAGCTATTTATATAACATCTATATTATTGTTATAATGATATAATTATATGAGATTGATGTATATAAGCATATAATAAAACAATAACTGGCATTACTATTTACTTCAATACTAACTTTAATTTTAGTCCAGGCTATTGCTGTTTTTATAAGTTGTGCTTATAGCTTTTCGCTTTTTCCAAAGTTTATAAATTGCCGTATTAGAGTTTAGTATAGTATGAGTATAATATAAAGGTTATACCATACTAGTTCTGTATTATTAGTATAGTATAATAAAAATTGATATTATGAACTTCTATTAAGCCAATTAGATTACTTTACTGACAGCTTATTTAGCAAACATTAAGTGTTGATTTATTAAATGTGTAATACTGCTAAATAAGCTATTAGTAAAGTACTATTTTAAATTTTAAGTTGTTTTGGTTTGATTATGTTATATATGTTATATTAAAATTTTATAAATTAATATATTTTATAATTTATTATTATTATTTGATATTAGAGAATTACTATTTGTATACTAGTGTGTATACATGGGGTATTGTTATTATCCAAAATTTCTCAAAATTTTGCTTATAAAACTACTTTGAAGATTCTAACAAAAAATAATCTACACAAAATTTTAGTATAAAATACTTTCTAACCCTAACTCTAACTTTAACTCTAACCTTTAACCTCTAACCTCTAACTCTAACTCTAACCCTAATTTTAAATAGTTTTTTTATAATTTATATGTTACATGGATTTACAAATCAATAAATTAATACCTGTATATACATACTAGTGTAATTTTAAAAATTCTCTTGATATTATTAGTTAATATAAAATCATATTACAAGGTGATTTTTCCTGAGAGCAGGATTTATTATTATTATTTGATATTATTAGTTAATATAAAATCATATTACAAAGTAATTTTCTCTGGGAGCAAGTTAGCAAAATCCAAATTTAAAAATAAATAAAAAAAATTTCTAATATATTTGTATATTGCAAACTACTCTAGTAAATTAAAAAATTATTTATTTTGTTAAAAGTTATTTATTTTTTAAAAATTTGTATAAAAAACCATCTATTGTATTACTTTATATGACTTGATAGTAAATTACTCACAATATACAGTATATACAACCTAGTCTTAACAAATAGGTCTTTTAGCGGCCAAATTTAAATTTTATTTTTTTATATATAAAGAGGCCAATTTGAAATTTTAGCTAATATTTATATATGAAGTGGCCAAATTTAAATTTTAATATATATAAAGTAGCCAAATTTAAAATTTTAATATATATAAAGTGGCCAAATTTAAATTTTTAAGAGGCCAAATTTGTTTTTTATATATATATATAAAAGGTGACCAAATTTTATAATTAATAAGCAATCCACCAATTACTTAAATAAAAAATTTTTTTTTATATATAAATTTTACTATAAGTGCAAAAGCATAGTGTCTCTATCTAAAACTTTTTTTATACTAAGTAAATAACTCTTTGGCTTCTAACAAAAGTTGTAGAGCTTATCAAAATGTAGTTTTTGAGAAATCTTTAAAAAACTTCTTTTTCACATAAAATTTTTTTTAAAGAAATTTTATATGTGAAAAAGAAGTTTTTTAAAGATTTCTCAAGAACTACTAGACCAATTTTAATATTCTTTCAGTATTAAATACATTTTGATAAGCTCTACAACTTTTGTTAGAAGCCAAAGAGTGATTTACTTAGTATAAAAAAGTTTTAGATAGAGACACTGTGCATTTGCACTTATAAAAAAAATTTTTTTGTCCAGGTGACTGGTGAATTGCCTATTAAATTAGTTATATTATTATTTGATTTATAAAATTTTTAAAATAAATTTTTTTGATAATTTTTTGTACTAATTTTTTTTAAAAGCCTAATACAACAAAACTCTGCTAGTAGTAGCTAGAATTAAAGTCTATTTACTATATTTTAGTAACTAAAACAAAGCTAGAAAAGAGTCAAGCTCTTATAAACAAGATCTCCTAGTAAAAAACTTTTGTACTATTAAGTAAAAAAATAGTTGACAAGCTCTAAAGCTTTTTAAATTTTATAAAAGCTTTAGCAAATAGTAATAACTATTATAAGAATTTATAATACTATATATAAGACCAATAACATATAGAGAACTCGTAGCAAAAAAATGCTTTAGAACAATTATATAATTTTGAAAAAATCATTATCAAAATTAGTATATAATTATTATCTATATAATAGTATCAAAATAATTAAACAAAATTATATACTTTTTTATTAATAGATTTTAACTTAAAAGCTGTTTTTTATAAAAATATTAATTTGTTAGTTAGTTATCCTATAAAATCTCAAATTTTGATTAGTTGTTCCAAAGCATACTTTTGCTATGGACTCCTCTATATATAGATCTTGAAGAAAAAACAAAAATTTTAAATACTTTTTTACAAAATAATTAAGTATATTATAATACAAAAATAAAGCCAAAGTGAGGTTTTCTTTATTTAATATTATATAACTTTTAAAATTTATTGCAGATAAAAATAGTATCTTTATATATATATATATATATATATTATATTTTTTGATTATTTAAATATTGTTTAAATTTTTATAGACACTTATTATTTTTTTTTTACTATTTTTTAGTTTATTTTTTTTTATATACTTATTTTTTAGACAAACTAGATAAGTTAATATTTGTAAATTAGATAGAAAAAGCAGTTTCTTTAAAAATCTTATATAGTATAGATACTGTTGAACCTTCTAAAATTAATTCTCTTAAAACTGATAACCTGTTAAATCTTGATAGAAAATTAGTCTACCAAGTCTGTTTCCATTATATAAGTCTAATAGTTTATAATTTTTTTAAATCTGATAATTTCTCAATACTAATACAAAATCTGTTTACTATATATATTAGTTTGGGGAGGTTTAACAGTATATAAATACCCAATAAAATATTAATATAATTGCCAAATAAAAAAAATATTGTATACTAATTTTCAATAGTGTTTAAAATCTTTTTACTTATAAGAATTAATAATTTTTTTTTTTTTTGAAGCAGTCATACAACAACTTTATTACTTAAGATATTAGACAGAGTAATTTATATGAGCGATTTTACTTTTGACTATTTAAGTTAGTTAGCTAATACCATCTTATACTAAAATATGATTTATATGATTTTTAATGTAATCTGCCAAGAACAAAAATAGCACTCTTGCTTCTTCTAAATTTATCTCTAATTTCAAATTCACAATTCACTGGCCAGGATTTACTAGCCTGTCATGACTACCTCTTTTCTTTAAATTTTTTTTTATCTAGATCTTGTTAGAAAGACTATTTTATAATCTGTCTGCAACAAATAAACCAAAAAAACAATCTAATATAAAAAAAAAAAAAAATAAAGAAAAAATAATAGAGGTAAAATATACACTGATAACATAAAAATAAAAAAAAGACAAAGATAAAAAAACAAAAAAAAAAGATCAAAGTCATAATCTACATATAAAAATGAAAGAGGTGCATTATTATAATCTGTACAAAGCTGAAAAAATTATATAGCAAATACAACATTTGTATATCTCTATTGTAAAGCTTTGCCTTAATCTTGGGTTTTTCTTTCTGACTATTCAACTAACTCTAGATAATTTCACTCTAACCTGTATCTCAAACAGGTACTGCCACTGTCTATAGACCTGTATCTCAAGCTACTTGCTGCTGCCATTAAGCTTAACTTCTTCCTTATTAGAGGTTTCTTATCCAGGGTCTGATCCTGTATAGTGATATTATATTTATCAAACACATAGTTGCAATCGAATAGGCTATCCAAATTTGGAATGTAAACAATGCTGATCTTTTGAAAGGAGTAAGCCAAATTTTCATTTTTTGTGAAAATTTTGGAAAACTGACAGAAAGGTGGAGAAAAGTAAAAAAGAAATCACTTGACAGAATAAAAGAGTGCAGATTAAAAGAGACTAATTCTTTACTGTTTCTCAGTTATTTTATAGCAGCTTTCTTCATCAACAGAAGTGTCTTCTTTTGGGTGTTCTCTTCTACTAAAATTTTATATACAAGAGCACCACCTTCAGGTTGTTGTACCTTGCTAGTTATCTTGTATATTAACACTTCTGGCTTGCTTGCTGAATATATAAAAGAGTTTCCCACAAGACAAGATTGACCTTTATAAAAACTGTTCTGCTTTTCCAGCTACTTAAACCATATTTCAACTATCTCCAGTAAAGAAAACTAGGTCTTTTCTTTTGTGAGAAAATTGGGCCAAGTAGAGTTGTTTTAGCAATTTGTAAGAATTAATATTATTATTAATAACTAATAAAATAAACTTTTTAACTATTTATTAGGTTTTTTTTTATTAATAATACAGACTATATAATCTAGACATAGCTTATTAAATCTATAAAAATAGTTATATTTTAATTAGTATATTGGTCTACTATATGGAATATTAAATCTCTTTAATAATAGTATTGTTTTAAGAAATACTAGAACTTAAAACTAGTAATGTCACAGTGCTATATTTTTTTATAAAAATAAAATAAAATAAAGATATACTTGCAATCAATATAAAGTTAATCTCAATATAAAGTTAATCTCAATATAAATAAACCATTTTTGAATAACTAAATAACACAAAGATCTTGCTATTAAGTGATTGAAACAAAATTATAGTAGACAAAAATGAGCTATTTGGTTAGTAAATAAAATATTCTTTGACTAATTTATTAAAAAACTAGAACCATTTAAGGCAATTATTCATGTTATTGCTAGCTGCCAACTCAATTGAAAACATTATATGTATTTAAACTTATTGTAAAAAATATATATAAATAAGTCAATATGCAAAAAGACATGCAATCATTAATTAAAATTTCCAGAATTATAATAAGCATTTATTTATCCTATTATTAGTTTAACCAACTAGTATAAAGGACATTTTGACAATTATAATGTTACATTTTCTTTCACGCAACTTTTAGTTTTGAAGCTTTACGATTCTTATATAATTCTTCAACCCAAGATTTAACTTCTGGATGAGTAAATATTCCTTTTGTTGATTCAAAGAATTCTTCAAGATCTTTATTTTGGGCTAAAATATTTTTTTATCAAAAATACAAACCAATTCGAAAATTTATCACAAGATTTATAACAATAAATAATATTAACAAATAAAAATAATGCACTTACATTGTTCGTACTCATAAGCTTGAAGAATCATTTCGAACTTATCAATATCTTTAACAAATTTAGCTTCTTTTGTTATTGCATCTTCATATTCTTGCCAAAGGGCGTAAATTTCTTGAGATTGTTGAGAGTTTCCAAGTAAATCGTCACACATATGCCTTAGTGCTTCCTATTGTTGGTTTGGAATTGAATGTAAAATCAAAAAATTAGCTTTTAAAATAAAGAGAAAATTCATTAAATAAACAAGATATTAAAAAAAAATTGAATATAAATACAGATTCTCTGCGTTTCTTTTCTTCCTTGCTTATTCCATCGGAAGCTGTTATATCTCCCTATTGAATACGATAATTAAATTTATAAGGGAATAATATGTCAATTACTACAAAGATTATAATAGTGACAAATTTTTGATAATAATTGAAAGAGAAAGTCCTCTTCACATGCTTTTTAAAGTGACGCTCTTTTTCTTTTTGCTTTATTTTGTAATTAATTTTCTTCTTCCTTAAAAAATTGCCATTTTAAAGAGCATGTAGACCGTATTATAGTTGGCATCTCAACAAGAGAAGCCCCAAACGATCGATCACAAAGAAGTAATATTTATAGGCAAATGAAATAATCTTTAAATAATATACGCACAACTATAGCTTCGGCCAGATCATGAACGATAGACATTTTAACACATCTAACAGAATTAGCAAAGTATTTGTGAAAAACTTCTAAGATAAATGTGAATAGTCAACTTTCTCCAACGAAAAAAAAAGACATACTTATCTCTATCTAAGGCTGAATCGTTAACTGATAATGATAATATGGACATGCGATGCATATGATCAGATATTGATTCAGGATTTTCTACATTATTGTATATCCATCCTGTGCGTTTTGTTGTCTAAAAAAAATTTAAAACAAAACTTTATTACTATTACTAATGTTCATATGGTATATAATTATATTAGATATACCTTTAATTTTTCGCAAAGATGAAAAAATTCGAGAAGTTTTGTAATATTTGAACCGCTTCTCGTTTGAGAACTATCCGCCATTATTATTATGTTGTGAACGAACAGAATCTGCAGTTGATTTAAAAAAAAATACGTACCAGTAATGTAGTGCAACATATCACCATCGACATCATATTACGTAATATTAGGTACGTACGATGATCGGCGTACTTATAAAGAAAAAAAAATTGTATTTTTTTTAGACGTACGTACGTCATATTCAAAAATGATGTAATACTTTGAGCTACCGATTTAGTGTATCTTTATACTGTTACGTAGGCATAAACTTGGAAATTACGGATGGGTTTATAAGCGTGCACTCGCAACTCGCTTCCTATACAATGGATTGCAATCCGACGTTCTATTCAATGAACGTAAACTCCAATCAGTTTTCTAAAGCGAGTATCTTCTATTTTGCGAAGACGTGTTGATCAAATATTATATATTAACAACCAAGACGGATGTGCCATGGAAAGGCGGAACTAACCAGAGCTAATTAAGAACACTAGCTCGAAAAACTACATCCTGTGTTGGGCTGGACATTGGACATGGACCAAAAAGTATTGGACAATAATATATAAATCAACGTATAGTCATTATTGGACATATTGGACTGGATGTATGTCCAAATCCAATGTCCAGCCCAGTCCAATAGCATAAAAATAGTTGGACATACGTCCAGTGCCAACACTGACTACATCACTATATTTCGTGCATATCTTGAAAAGAATAGATAATGAATGAATGGGGCTAGGGATGTTATCCTGTTCCAACCGGTTGGTTCGTGCTAGCAAACCCGCTAAACACTGTTTCAAAGCACACACGATA